TAATCTAAAATCTAATGACGTCAAAGTTCATTATATTCAAGTTGTTGTCATACCCGATTCAGGTGAATAATCACTTACAAATTTAAAGGTATAACACTTTTCTTATTGCAAGTGATTTAACTTGACCTGGTAATATAATTAAGGATTTGATCCCTAATTTTACAAGGTATTGATCTATAATTACATGACAACAAAGACCGTCACATTGAAATACTTACCCTAATAGCTAGTGGAAGTAAATAAGTAGTTATAAATATAAATAAGGCTTTAATCTAAGATCCAATGACGTCAAATATCATTATAATCAATTTATGTTCATAGCCAATTCAGGTGAATAATCATCATAATTACACAACAATAAGGATCACCACATTAAAATGCTTACGCTAACAGTTAGTTTAAGTGAATAAATAATTATAAAATATAAAATAAGACTTTAATTTAAGATCTAATGACGTTAAATATCTTTATATTCAAGTTCTTATCATAGCCGATAAAATTGAATAATTAATTACAAATTTAAAAAAAAAAATGTAATTCTTCATCCCTACCAAATATAGCTAAGCTTAAGGGATTGACACTAAAAATCAACCTGGCAAGCATATCCCTTTTCTCATATAAGGTAACTTCGCATTTAGGCACTTACCATACAAAAGATCAAATAGAAGGCAAGAAATCGTTTTTGTACAAATCCCCAAAATACCCCCACAACAACCCCGAGTTAGCCCCTCCAGCAATTCTCTGCACTCACCGCCTTTCATTTTCTTAGCTCTATATAAAGTCAACAGAGCGCCTGGGTCCAATCATACCCAAGGTGACTCACTTTGTGTTACGTGCGGTAACTTATCTTTTTCCCTCTTTCTCTGTGGGCGTCCCTTTCTTTTGGTCCAAGGAAAGAGAGATAAAGAAAAGAGAACCCAAGGCAGAAGGTTTTTCCTTAGGGTATACCGCCGCTTAGTTACGTCGTCAACGCAGAGAGAGCACCGAAACAGTCGGTCCTATTAACGGCGTCGTATCTTGAGCCTGCTGCACTATTCCTCGTCGTCCTCGCTGAGACAGGGCTCTATTTTTCCTTTATCTTCCTTGCTCTCACCTCCCCAAACTAAAAATTATCAAAAAAAAAAAAAAAACACATTCGCTTAAGAAAATCAAATCATCTCAAGTCATTATCGCAGTAGTGGCAGGTAAGTCGTTCTTCGTGTTTTCGTTTTTTTTTTTTTTTTTTATGTAGACCCCTACAGCCATTGCAT